CGCCACACTAGGCCAGGCCCCGCCCCGCCAAGCCACGCCCCGCCACACCAGGTCAGGCCCCGCCCCGCCAAGCCACGCCACGCCCAGAGTGCCAGCGCCGCTCTGCCCTTGCCCTCAATCCCAGCCTCCTGGCCTTTGCTGAAGCCATTCTCACTGCTCTTCCTGTCTCCTGCTGCAACAGCCCTCCAATGCCCACTCCTCCAGGAAGCCTTCCCTGCACCCCAGCCAGCCCTCCCCCAAGAAGAGCCTTACTGCTGAAAACAATGTGCAGTAGACAGCCTGGGGCCACCGGCCTCAGCTCTGGAGATGCTTTGAGCAGGGCGGGAACCCCTTTTCCTGGCGGAGGCCCTGCGCTAGACTTGCAGTTAAGGCCCTCCATGCCAGCGCAGCAGATGTTCACAAGGCCAGAGACCTCTAGTCCCACCTGCTTGTCTTGTAGTTGCAGGACCGTGGGGGAGCCGTGGCCCGGGGAGCCCTGAGCCTGGTGCCAGGGCGGGACTGGTGGGGGATGGTCGGGGCTCTTTAGCAATGGACGGGTCATTTCAGCCTCTTGCTGTGGGTGGTGCCATTGGGCGTGCCTGGCAAGTGGGAGAGCGGGTGGTGGTCTATGGAATCGGGTCCTCAGACCTGCGGGGCACCGGGCAGGGGGCTCAGCCCAGCTGTGCCTGCCCATCCCTGCTGACCGCAGCCGCCCGCCCTTCCAGGATCGTGTGTGCCACAGGGCCAGCCCCAGAGGCCTTCTCGGAGGTGGTAACGGTGAACGCTTCCAAGGAGGGCAAGTCAAGGGAGCGCTTCTCCTACGTGGTAAGGGAGGCGGCAGTCCACCCCCCCCCCCCGGGCCCTGTGTCACTCCCCGGGGCTGGCCCCAGGCCCACCACCTGCTGTCTCCTCACAGCTGCCCCTGGTCCACTCCCTGGAGCCAGCCATGGGCCCCAAGGCGGGGGGCACCCGGATCACCATCCACGGGAGTGATCTGCATGTGGGCTCCGAGCTCCAGGTCCTGGTGAACGACACAGACCCCTGCACGGACCTCGTGTAAGCCCCTGGGTCCCGAGGACCCCACGGAGTCGGGCTGGGGGGCGGGGTGATGTCCTGGTGCCGAGTGTGGCTGGGCCTTCACGGGCGGTGTTGCTGTGTGCCAGCCCCTTCCTCCCTGAGCCTCAGTATCCCCATGTGGTAAGAACAAAGAACGGCGTGGTGGTAGGGCGCTGGACTCCCACATGGCCAGCTATGGTTCGAGTCCCAGACCTGGTGGCTTGCTTTCTCACTTTCTCTCTCTCTGTGTCCCTAAAATGAAATAGTGATAACAATGACATTAAATTTACAAATTAAAAAAGAAAACACAGCAGGAACAGCTCTGCCTCCACATGGTCGGTGCCCTTAAGTGATAGGTGCAATGAACATGGTGGTTGCCATGCACACTCCACGGCCCTCCATCTGGCCGGGAGGTGGCAGGGGTGTGGCTCAGAGCCTGGTGCCAAAACACCTCTCTATTATGCACCGACTATACCAGGCCTGTGGGTGGGAAGCAGGAGAGATCTGGGAGGGCTTCTTGGAGGCGGTGGAATGGGCAGCAGTAGAAAGTCTGGGTAGGGTTGGAGGGAAGAGGTGTCCTCAGTGTGAGCTCAGCCTGAGAAGGGGTGCGGCAGAGAACAGGCCGTGGTCAGGCGCGAAGGACTGCCGGCAAGGGGAACCGGCAAGGCTGGGCGGTGGAGGAGGCCGCGGCCCAGGCCAGGCGCGGGGCACGGGTGGGGCGAAGTGGGAGGCGGCGCCGGCTGACCCTGCCCATGCCCGCAGGCGCGCGGCCTGCCAACCTCACCTTCTGGTACATGCAGAACCCGGTCATCACGGCCATCAGTCCCCGCCGCAGCCCCGTCAGGTGAGACCCGACGCCACCGTCCCTGGGCGGGGCCTCCGCAGAGCCGGGCTGACAGGTGTCCATCCCCACAGCGGCGGCAGGACCATCACGGTGGCGGGCGAGCGCTTCCACATGGTGCAGCGGGTGTCCATGGCAGTGCACCACATCGGCCGGGAGCCCACGGTGAGGTTGGGGCGGGGGGCTGACCGGGCCGGCTGGGCTGGGTCCCCCCACCCCGGGGACCCTGGCTGACCTGGCTCCTCCTGCTGTGTCTCTGTCTCTGTCTCTGTCTGAACCTTAATCTCTCCATGCCTGTCTGGTCCGGCCCTGGCCCTGCTCTGGCAGCTCTGCAAGGTCCTCAACTCCACCCTCATCACCTGCCCGTCCCCCGGGGCCCTGAGCAACGCCTCGGCGCCCGTGGACTTCTTCATCAACGGGCAGGCCTACGCGGACGAAGCGGCGGCAGCGGGGGGGCTCTGCTGGACCCCGAGGAGGCGCAGCGCAGCAGCAGGTTCAGCCTGGACTACCTCCCCAACCCGCAGTTCTCCACCGCCAAGAGGGAGAAGTGGATCAAACACCACCCCGGGGAGCCCCTCACCCTGGTCATCCACGTGAGCTGGGGGCACCGGGTGGGCGGGCGCTGTGGGGCTCAGTGGGGACCTCTCCCACGAGCATCACCACTGCACCCACAGAAGGAGCAAGACAGCCTGGGGCTGCAGAGCCACGAGTACCGGGTCAGGATCGGCCAAGTGGCCTGCGACATCCAGATCGTCTCGGACAGAGTCATCCACTGCTCCGTCAACGAGTCCCTGGGCATGGCCGAGGGTCAGCTGCCCATCACGGTGAGTGGACGGCAGTGCCACGGGGTCATCTGCCCGCCACCTTCCTCACCCTGCAGCTCAGAACCGCTGGGCGCTTTCGTGCCCTGTAGCTTAGGCGAGCAAAGCGGAGTTTTGTTTTGTTTAGTTTCGTTTTTGTTATAGGGTATGTGTACTCACCAGAGAGACAGAAAGCGAGAAATCGCCCTCCGGGGGGATGGCCACACCACAATCCGTTTTCCTCCATTCTCTCGGGATCTTGGGCACGCCCGCACCCGGCGTGAGTTTAAGCCACTGGGTCCAGGACTTGAACCGCGGTCGGCTACATGGGAGTCAGTGACATAGTCATTACGCTGGTCCCAAGCAGGGCAGAGTTTTGCACCCCCACTTAACAGAGGAGGAGACTAAGGCCGAGACCTTAGCAGTGGGCCCTTCTGTGCCTGCTGGGCTGGGCATTCAGACACTGTAAGACATCCCTGTCCTGTTTGGTGTCTCAGCCAGAACCTGGCTGCCACTCACCATAGGGAGTCATGGAGGGGATGGAAGGAGGAGCAGAGAGGACCCACGGGGGGCTTTTCTGCATGTGCTGCTTGCATGCTTCTTGGCACGGGGAGCTCACTCCTCCCCAGGCAGCGTGTGCTGCCCCAGGATGGCTCTGACGGGGAAAGTGCCCCCTTCTCCACATTCCGGTCCTCGCTCTGCCCTCAGAGTCCTCACCTCACCTGCTCCCCTGGTCCTAAGTCAGCCCTGCAGACACTCAGGGCTAGCGTCCCCTCCTCCACTCCGTCCCAGTCTGCAATAAGAACCCTGCGGCGACTCGAGCTTAGCAAAAACGTCAACACCTTTAGTCTTCCGTGGCCACAGGACACGTGGGCGTGGCTTATCGCTGCATGGTTGATGTGCTGTGTGAGGCTCAGAGAGGTTAGCTGGCTTGCCCCAGGCCACACAGCTAGAGAGGAGGACTCCGGGCTCGAGTCCTCGCCAGCCACGTCCCCGTTTTCCGTCCAGATCCAGGTGGGGAATTTCAACCAGACCATCGCCACGCTGCAGCTGGGGGGCAGCGAGACAGCCATTGTCGCGTCCATCGTCATCTGCAGCGTCCTGCTGGTGCTGTCCGTGGTGGGTAAGGAGCCCCCGCCCCGGGACCAGGACCGCACACAGGAGGGGCAGGACCCTGGGGCAGCAGACGAGAGCCCGGAGGGGGAGGGGGCGGTCAGCTCTGGAAGGAAGGACGTGTGGAGTGGGCTGGGGCCCGAGCCAGCCTGGAGACTCCGTGCAAATGGAGGGAAGCCCGCGAGGGGCCCCACGCTGCCCCGGGGTAGGAGAAGCACAGAGCGGGCAAGCTATGGAGGCAGGTGGAGCCCAGTGTTCACTGGAGGAGGGGAGGAAGGGGCAGGAAGCAGCTGCCCGTGGGACTGGGTCGTCTCGGGCAGTGAACATGTGCCGAGGTAAGGTCATGGGAACTTAGCACCCTTGGGCTGTGCCCCAAACCATCGACTCGTGCACCTTAGACAGATGGTTTTTATGGTGGGTGAACAGTAGCTCAATAAAGCTGTGCTCCTTTTTCTCTCTCTCTTTTTAGAGTTGTGTGTGTGTGTGTGTGTGTGTGTGTGTGTGTGCTATAGGGCCCATGCACTCATGAGAGAGACAGAAAGCAAGAAATCACCCCCCGCCCCCAGAGGGGGTGGCCATGCTGCAGTCCCTTCTCCTCTATTCTCCTCTTGGGATCTTGGGCACACACACACACACACACACACACGCACCTAGAGGGAGTTTCATGCTATCAGATCTGGGACTCGAACTATGGTCAGCCACATGGAATCCAGTGCCTTAACCACTACGCTCCGTGCTGGGTCCCCCCTCCCCTTTTTATCTTTTGAAAGAGAATATTCAATGTAGAAAAGTTTAGGGAAGGGGCTGGCAGGTGGTGTCGTAGTTAAGGGCACTGGACTCCCACATGGTCAACTGTGGTTCGCGTCCTGGACCTGGTGGCTTGCTTTTTCACTCTCTTTTTTTCCCTCTGTGTGTGTGTGTGTGTGTGTGTGTGTGTGTGTGTGAGAGAGAGAGAGAGAGAGAGAGTCCCTTTCTGGTCAAGTTAAAATAAAATAAATAAAGTTAAATAAAATAATTTTTTTTAAGTTTATGGAGCCAGCGCTGCTCATGTAGTGGTCCCGTTCTCGGGACCAGCAGTTAGCATAATGGCTGTGTCGTTGAACTCCCATGGAGCTGACCTGGCTTAAACTGGCTTAAACTCACACTGGGCGCATGTGCGTGCGTGCCCAAGATCCCAAGAGGAGAATGGAGGAGAAGGGATTGCGGCGTGACCATACCCC